GTCTCCAGCCTCGACAGCTGGAGGAGTAGATGTAGGTGGAGGTGTAGAAGGTGTCGTCCTTGCTCCCAGGACATGTCTTCTTTCCAACATGTCACATTCCATCAGTGTTCCTCAGCACAGGTTGTCCTTGGTGGTGGAGGTGTGTGTCGTGGTGGAGTCGTCCGGCAGGGAGCCGCGGCGACTCGGCCGCGTCCAGCAGTGCAGCAGGTTCTGAAGCTCTCTGGACATGCTGCTGGAGAAGGCTGTGTAGATCCACGGGTTTGTGCACGAGTTCAAACTGGCCAGCAGCATCAGGATTGTGAAGGCCACACCTGCAGTGGACAAACACAAACACACACACACAGACACACAGACGTGTCAAGGTAAGCATGCAAATGCAGAGACAAAGTCAACTTTGACTGAAGCCATCTGGCCACAGGGGACGACTCCTGTGGAATAATCACATTATAAACAGCCATAAATCAGCAAACGACCATGGCCTCATTGAAATGAACTCCAACCATTATGTATCAGTACGTTTTTGATTCCCTGGTCACACGTCAACAAGGCAGTTATTATCTTTCAGGGAGAAAGTCCTGTGTGTGCGCTTTTCTGTTTTTCTCTGTGTTTGCCAAAAATACATTTTTGTATCAAGTAAAAACATCTTCAATAAAACATTTCCAGAAAAACAAGCACATATGTGTGTGTGACAGTGTGGCTGATGTCAGTGTTGAACACATGTCAACATCTGTCACAGTTGCAGACTCAGCAGAGAACATAAACAGATTATTTACTGCCCCCAGGTGCTTAACCTTAGCTTCCCGGTAAAGGTCGTTCACAAAGTCACTGCTGTCGACTGGAAGCGCCGCTTCAATCCGTCTCTTACTGCCACTACTGTCACGGACGTCTCATCTAGAATTGTCCAGAAGAGTGGACTCTCAGTCAGTCAACGTCAAAAAAACAACCTGTTTTTCAGCCTGCATTTCAAACACCTGCTGTTTGTAGGATAACGAGCGTCACGTCGCTGGACTCACTCGAATGGACAACAGCATTGATCCACGGCCGTGATTATGCAACAACACCATTGTTTATCTTGTGTTTTTGGCTGTCGGCTGAGCAAAACAGACAGGCCTTGCGTATCCAGAGCAGTGACGTGGATTTACTGGGCTACAGAGAATCAACACCAGCCATAAAAACAACCTGAGTAACGTGTATGTGGGTTAGCAATATAGCCGCAGGTGTCTGAGTATTTGGTTCTAAGAAAGGTAGTTGCAGAAAGGTTCCATGGTAGAAAATGGTAGTTTTATGTTGAATTTTTAACACAAATGTGTTTTGCTCTGAGGCACCACTTGTAACGTGACCCCAACTGGTTGATCAAGCTACGGATAACATATGCAAAATGCAACATGACAGCTCTGAGTAATGATATGAATTATGTATGAGATAT